ACCACCAAAATCACAGAATAAATGTTCTGTTTTGGTCCTACTGATTTTAAGACCAGCTCTCTCCAATGTATCTCGCCATATTTCCAACCTGCTCTGTACCTCACATTCATCCTCCCCGACAAGCACGATGTCATCAGCATAAAGCATACACCAGGGTGCTTCCTCCTGTATGTCTGACGTCAGCGCATCCATTACCAGGAGGAAGAGATACGGGCTTAAAGCCGAACCCTGGTATAGGCCCACCGAGACACCGAACCTGTCGCTATCGCCAGCAGCGGACCTGATGTGTGTATTGGCTTGGCAATACATAGCACGAATAAGCTGCAGGTATTTCCCAGGCACTCCTTTCACTTTCAAGGTCCACCACAAAAGTCTCCTCGGAACCCTATCATATGCTTTTTCAAGGTCTACGAACACCATGTGCAGGTTTTTGTGCACACGCCTATATTTCTCGCACAGTTGACGAATAGCAAAGATGGCATCCGTAGTACCCCGTCCTGGCATAAAACCAAATTGGTTCCGAGTTACCTCACTCTCTTCTCTTATTCTTCCGTCCACCACTCTTTCCCAGGCTTTCATACTGTGTGACATGAGCTTTATTCCTCTATAATTGTTACAGATCTGCACATCCCCTTTGTTTTTAAATATAGGCACTAGTGAACTAGCACACCATTCATCTGGGATCACCTCTTCCTGTAACAACTTGTTGAAGAATAGAGTCAGCCACACCCATCCATCCGCCTTTAAGAGCTTCCATACTTCCACTGGTATTCCATCCGGCGATTACGATTACGATTTATTTTTATAATAAAATAATTTCCACAAATATTTGAAGTTTTATAAATGTACAATTATAAATGACTAATTAACGATATGTCTAATTCATATTGATTAGTTCTAAAAAAAATAATCAATGGCATTATACCTATTAAATTATACAAACTTTCGTGAGACATTATAATAAACTTACAAAAAAACGGCTAAACACTCACTTTATACGTCCGGTGGCCGAACAGACTGATGCAGGGCCTCCGATGGGCTCGAAACTAGTCGGTGCCACCAGACGAATATACGTGAGTGTTTAGCCGCTTTTATATAAGTTTGGCATTATACCTATTATAAAATGTACTAGATTTTTTTTACTATACCAAATTAAATACTTTGATTAATAAATCAATATAACATTAAGCGCTAACTACTATTTGATTGTTGACGTAATGATAAACAACATTTTATTTTCATAAAAACTAATACAAGGAAGTTCGCAAGGTGAAATAAAAAGTTTCAACAGGATGCTAAAGGGTGTTATTTTTCCCTTATACGACAACAATGTGGAGTCCTTTAAAGCGTTGACCATATATCAGTACAATGATTAAGCTTGAGTGACCGTAGGCCTTCGAACAAGTACAAAAGTAACTTAACGAGCACTATTCAACATAAATAGCACATACATGACATTCCGATCAACAATAAAGCCTTAGATTGTAGCAAAGATTTCTGTGAATCGCACATTAGCGAAAATGTTCCATTGCTGATAAGCTATTGATTCCATCGATATCAAATAATGTCATGTCAATGAAGACTGACCAATCATCATGTATTCATGATGTGATGGAACGAAAGTTATTGTTCTCTAATTGTTATAATTTAGCTCACTATACGTCCCCACCGAGGGGCTCGGAGCCTACCCTAAGTTAGGGGTGATCACGCATCACGATGCTTTCCTTCGCCGAAAGAACGTCGGATAAATATACATATGTAAAACGAAAATCGAAAAACACATTGGTACATGGCTGGTTTCGAACCCAAGACCTGCAGATTACAAGTCAAGTGCTTTAACCCCTGAGCCACCGACCCTCATATTTGAATTATTATTGCGTATTCTTAATATTCTAATATATTTTATACACATTTTATTACAGTTGCATGTAGTGCACAGATCTCGAATTTAAAAATAATGTAGTAACGTAATGTAGTAAAGGTTAAACAGGAGATAAAATTACAAATCCAATTGTCTAAAGTATAAGACTGTTTAAAAATATTATTTACTAGTTCCCCGTGACTTTGTACGAACGAAATTAAAACAATCTAGTCGTATAAATATAGCCCATGTCAACTGGGGATAATGTAGCTCTCCAATAGTGAAATAATTTATAAATCGGTTCAGTAGTTTCGGAGTCAATGTAAAGCAAACAATCAAATCTTACCTCTTTATAAATATAAATTACAAGGATACACTTTAACAGCGTTAATTCGTTAACCTGTTTAATAAGCTATGTATTTTTGACACGCTTTTTAATAACGTTATTAAAGGCTTTAAAATAATTTACTAACTTTATGTTATGTAATATCTTACATATTTACTACATAAATTCTAGTCAGACGCAGAAACATTACTCATATTCCGAGAATAATAGCAATTCTACTTGAGATTTGAGGTAATAACAATTTACTTTAGCGGTAGTTGACTCTGACCCGCACTAGATTACAAATTAACTGTAAAAGGTGACCAAATTTTGTCAGTTTGGATGGATGGATGGTGATATGTAACAATAAATTACGTAACTTCAAACCAACTAAACATTTCTGGATGTAATATGGAATGGCTATTGACTCAGTTTTTTTTTTAAATTTCGAATCGTGGGTGACAGTATTATAAAATTATTTCGTTAGAAAAATACATTATTGAACTAAGAACAAGTTACAAAGTTATGCAGCATAAGTTTTACTTTCATCAGAGAACCCGTGGTATAGCGGAACATTATCGAAAGTGAGATTCGCTATCATTATCACGGAGCCGGAAAGAAACAAAAACACTCTAACAATCCCAATTGACTGTTATGTAATCGCTTTAATAATACCACAAAACATGCCAACATGTTTCATTGTACGACTATATTAGGGATGTCCAAAATAAATTATTTTGAAACTTTAAGTAAAATTATTATTAATAATCAAAGTTAAAATTATAGGATAATCTTCTGTATATGATGATTCTATTTCAATATTCTTTGATCCACTCTTATTATTAGGAGTTGTTTATTAATCAAGTTTTGTTTTTACCAGCTTTTTGACTCCGAACCCCTCTTGTGATATGTTTTTAATTACGTTTTAGACTATCCCTCACCCTTATACCCAAAATCACGTGTTACAATTTTCAAAATATTATTAAAAAAAAATAATTGATTTGTTTTTCGTACAGCCCTAGTATAAGAAGAAACGTACGGCCTCCGTAATTATTTCCGATGTTTTTGTATAAAGCAACGGTTTATTTAGAGCTAGATATCTGCGGGAAAATTGCTAGTCTATTACGAGTAAGTAAAAACAAAGTTCTGTCTACACGGGACGATGACCACGTAAATTGTTTATGCGACTTTCATAGAGTAGTATTTGCATTTTAAACCTCAATTACTTATACAAAGAGTTAATTTTCCGCTGCGTTTTGCTATTAGAGAAATTGTTACTTGAATGTAGAGGTCACTAACACCGTAGAATATAGATCCATATTCATATATCCTATCCTCATCGATGTTCCGAAATAAAGCAATTTGTTGTAATATTGATTAATAAAACTGAAATGATAAAAATATAATTATAGTTAATTTAAAAGAAAGTTGCTACTTAAAAGTATAGCAATAACGCTATCAAAAATGTTTTTTTTTTGTCAAAGAGCACAAAGAGAAAAAATAATGTGAAGCTCTTATGTCATTCTCAGTTATGTTTGAAGAATATCAAATGTTAAATTACGTAAATGTAATTTAACTATCATAAAAGTGGCACTAAGTTTAAGTCAAGCAATTAAACAGACTCATATGCTCCAAGTAAGAAATAAATAACTAGAGCGTAAAATAAAGTTGCGGCCACACTGAGCGATGTCATTACAACGTTGCCAAATCGGGATTAATATCTGAGACATTAGCAATCTCGTCTTACAAAAGAACACACCATGACACAAGGTCAATGTTTGAAGTGTCGCAAGTTAAATAAAGACAAAGTATGAACCATAATTTAACCTGGATATTGTTACAAAGTTTTTTAAAAATTTCTTCAAGTAACATTGAGTTTCGACTGGATAAAAAACATGTATAAACATATTATTTACTCAATGTTATCAAAGGGAATTAGACATCAACATGTTTTTATACATGTTCTTGGTAGTGGAAACTCACGTTAACACTTTCAAACAATGTCTTCGGCACTTCGTTGACATAAGAATGTGAACTTTGTATAACGGAACTAAAGAAATGCGGGATTTCAAAGAAACGTTACACGAAAAACGGTAGTAGACATACAAAAGAATAGCATAAAATGTTGTAAACCACACCATTTTTATACTATTCTTTTGATATAGTCGGACATTTCATTAAATTTTGTTCTTGTTTATTTTTCTTCTGCATCACAAATGTACTATCTCACAGTTATATATCGTCTCCGTTCTCGCGGAATAAAAAAAAATCTTAATTTGTACTCTATGTGTTCTTCCTGACTATGTTCTACATCTATTCCAAATTTCAGCGAGATACATCAAGCCGTTCTGGAGAGATCTACTATCAATCCATCTATCTAATCATTCATCATCATCATCATCAGCTCACTATATGTCCCCACCGAGGGGGTCGGAGCCTACCCTAAGTTAAGGGTGATTAGGCCATAGTCAACCACGCTGGCCAAGTGCGGGTTGGTTGACTTCACACATATCTTTGAATTACTTCTCAGATACGTGCAGGTTGCATCACGATGTTTTCCTTCACCGTAAGAACGTCGGATAAATGTACAAATGTAAATCGGAATTCGTAAAACACATTGGTACATGGCGGGATTCGAACCGAGGACCTGCAACTAATCATTCGCTTTTAAAGTATTAGTAAGAAGTAGCTTGAAAATGTGTAGGGACATTTAATACAAGATTTTGATTTTCGAAAACTTACTTAGTATTTTGTATAATAATATATTTATTGAACATGAAATCTTCTTAGCACTAATTGACATATTTTTTACAGGAACACATACAAGAAGTACTAGACAAATGGACACAGATCGACGACGAAATCTGGGCGAAGGTGATTGTCTTTGAGAAGAATCGACGCGTGGCGAAGGCATATGCGCGTGCGCCGGTACTCACTATAAATGGATCTGACGACGGCTTTGATGGCATGAGGTCAGTTTTATATTTTTGTTTACAGTATAACAATATGTATACAGTATGGTGTTCGCCTTTGACTCTAACAAGAGCAATAAAAGAGACATATTCATTATTTCATAATGTTTCATTAAAATAGTATAAATAACAAAACAAATGAACCGATAGATAATAATTCCCTTCAATTAAATCATTAAACGCATTTTCGTCGATTATACAATTAATATTATCAGCACGTGGCTGCTCTAAATTCTGAGTACAAATAATTAGTGATTACGAAGTCTTTGAAGTTATTACAGCAAATGCATGTTGACAGTAATTATTTTAATAAGCAACCAGCAAATTATAAATACGTCTCAAATTGATTGAGATTTGCTTTGCGTAAAAAATATTTGTGTTACATTTCAAAGTTTAAGGATATCAAAGTAACCTACCGTGGGTTTCCGAGACCAAAATCCGTTTAAAGCATTTTGTTATGTTTGATAAAATACTGATTTTGGTTTCAGAAACCCATGTCTAATGTGTTAATTTAAATGTTTTAGTGTTGTGCCAAATTTGAAGTATAATAATCTCTCATATGTCAGTGTAAAAACCAAAAATGTGTTACATAAGTAAATATTTCATAATCCCTCAGTTCATATACTTATAAAGTATGCAATAATTGCAATTATTTAATATTTAAAATTATTTTAATTTTGTTATAAAGAATTTAATAAACGCTGTTAACAAAAGACGCGGGTGTAGCGAAGCGTGCAAGAAACAAGGTCGCTTAGTCGGCCATTACCGAAGTTTCACAGTTTCACCGGTTTTTTTAATGTCGAGTAATAACTTTATCAGATCTACACGAGTTCGTATGATAGTGAAAGTTTGTACCTCAGCTGTCGAACAGTTTGTATTAGGCAATCGTGCGTGCAAATGTGTCGATAAGTTATTTGATTAGTACTTACTCAACTCCTGTCTACTGCAGACTACAATTTCTCGGTTACTCTGTAACAAAGTCCATCTTACTAAAATATAAAAGCAAATGTTCTCATGGATGGATGTTTGTAAGAAGGTATCTCCAGAACGGCTAAACGAATCACAATGGAATTCGGGATGGATATAGAAGATAGTCTGGAAGAATAAATAGGCTATTAATTATGTTTTTATTTAAACCCGCACGAACGGAGTCGCGGGCGACAGTTAGTACGATACAAAGATCAATTTTAAATATTTCTATTAAACTTGTCCTCCTATCCTATCCTCTACATAGGTAATTGCTTTTAAAATATAATTCTAACTATATATGTACATATGTATATCTTTTACTAAAGTGAGATATTAAACAATTATTTATATTTATTCAGTATCTTCTAAATTAAAAAGAGACCACCCAAGCGTTACCTTTGTATAATAAAATATAAGTTGCAATGATAAATCTACACAAGCTATTTACTCTCAATGCAACATGGTCGTATTTGATATAATTACACTCTCTCTCTGGGAAATAAATTAAATAAGACAAAGAGGTGTTTGGTAGAGAGATGTGATCATGCGGAATATCTCCTCAGTGGCCGGTAATGACACGGAAGTCTCGCAGTATAGATCATCAAGCCCCTGTTTATGTTAATGGTGATTTATTTCAAGTAAGTAAAGTACTAAAAAGTAACTAAGACTGCGACGAGTAATAGTGATAAAAATATCACAGTAATTTGATCGTAATCTTACTTCTTACTAATATTATTAATGCGAAAGTTTAGATGGATGGATGGATAGGTGGATGCATGTTTGTTTGCTAGAATGGCTGCATGGATCTCGCTGGAATTTAGCGAAGTTGTAGAACATGGTAATATACGACATAAGTAATATTTTTAAACACAATATACTATATTTTATAGATTTTTATATCTTACTTAATTTCAAAATACGTAATAGATATTACTGTTAGTAGCTAGTAAAATTATAAAGGTTTATAATTATAGTTTTAAACTTTATTTGTTTAATGCGGTAGTAAGTAGGAAGTGTCGCAGTTCGACGTTCGTGTGCTATCAGATGCTCACACACGAAAATCGGCATTTTAATGAAAGTCCGAGCTCTCGCAGGCTCATTTAATTAGTCTCGATCTAATGTACGCGGAGTCTAACAGCGAACAATAAAGATCGAACATTCCCTGTGGTAATAATTAGGACTGGTTCACGGATGTCTGATAGGGAAATGGCAATTCCTTTTATTTGAATTACAAGTCGCTAAGTAGCTACTGAAATTGTAATTTGTTAATTGTGATTCTTTTTTGTTTAATTATATTATTTAATTCAAAACAGTTGAACGACAACAAACATATCAACTGGGATGGTGTATAAAACATATAATCATCTTTGTTGTTCAAATTAAAATTGCTTTAAGAAATTATTAATCAAATTTTTAATTCTAGACACAAAGTTAGAAAATGTTCCAATATTTAAAAAACGTTATCTTACTACCTTACTAATATTATAAATGCGAAAATTTTGATGGTTGGATGGATGGATGTGTTCGAATATACCTCGAGAACGGCTCAACGAATCCCCATGAAATTTGACACACTTATAGAATATAGTATGGAAGAACACATAGGCTACTTTTTTTTTTTTATTCCGCCTGGACGGAGACGCGGGCGACAGCTAGTCTGTCTATAATTTCTTATAGCCAGTGAAATCGATCGAAGTAACAGCTACACTTATTGTCAGATACCTATCATCAAACTTGTTGACCACCTGACGGCAACAGATGGCTCTAACATTGTCTAGCGTATACGATAATTTGATATCCGACAACAGGGCCACTTACTGACATGCATACAATTTATGACCATAAACAAAACGCTCGATTTGTGAATAAAGACGTTTTACAAGGAATCAAAATTATCATATTTTAACTTACAATCTTTTGTTTTTTTTGTATATATCCGAAAATCATCTTGAGGCCTTTTGAGTTTTTAATACCGTTAAATACTTGCTTACTTACATGCTGAATTTATTGACCATATTCATAAATCTAAGTTCATTGGTACTAACTACTTATGTTGAATAAGGAATAATTTAATCTAATTTTCTTGAATGGAAATTTTTAGATACAAGATTGTGTCCCAGTGTCTCACGCATGTTAAAAGAAAAGAGTTTTTTATATAATTCCTACATTCTAACAGGTGGAAGTGTAAACAATTCGGTCGTTGTGGTCGCATAGCTAGGTGTTGCAACAATATCTGAATGTTATTGTTTATTGTGTTCTTATCGATATCTACATGCTTTGTTAGTGCTGTGCGGAACCCGCGAGCTCGCACGAGCGCCGCACAATGCCTCAACTAGCCTTGCTTTTTGTGGAACTAAAGCGTAATGCGGTACCATATGTCATTAATTTAAGATTATCTTGGAAATTGATAATTTAAATTCGTATAATATGTGCCAAGTAATACGAAATAGAATAGTCTGGGTTGACGTTTTGTATTTACTTCGAGGTTATAAGAGGAAGGAAAAGCACGAACGTCAATTTAGGAAATTTTGGAAAACTAAAAGAAACGATTAGCACACACAACATTGTAGGTATATATATTTTACAACTAATACATTTTCGAATCTTAAAAAAAGAAAACTTATAATGTTCTAAATTTAAAAATTATGAATAAAAAAGCGTGTAAAAGATCCGTTATAATATCAACCTTCTTTGTCGTCATTCCAACATTAATTCATTGGATAATTAAACGGTTTAGTATTCAGGAATCAAATATTTTCTATTAAAACTGTTGTTTTGTTTATTGTATTCTATTATTTATTTCGTAAGAAGAGTTCATATTTAAACATATTTACTTTTAAATTAAAGTCATACATCAAGATAATATGAAATATGCAATAATGTGGCATGACATAATTGTTTGATACGACACGACACGATTATAGCAGGGGAGTCGGTTCGAAAGTGGGCCGACATTGAGGTAGGCTTTTGCAATACTTCTCAATGCTCGGCGTCAACGAATTTGTTGCAGATCTTATGAAACTGATATTTTTTATATAGCGATAGCATGACACATGCAGCCGATAACTATACTAAAATATAATAAATTTGCAAAAGTATTTATGCCAAGATTTTTGCTAAGGTTGCTGATTTTGAAGATTTGCTAAGATATACAATCGTAAAAAATAGCTAAAAATGTTCCTTGATAATTAGCAAGCGACTTATATATAAAAGTCATAATCTTACTGTTTACTAATATTATAAATGCGAATGTTTACATGGATTGATGGATGTTTGTTTGAAGGTATCTCTGGAACGGCTTAACGAATTTTGATGATTGGCACACATGTAGAACATAGTCTGGAAGAACACAAGCTACTTAACTTTTCTTAAATTCCGCTCGGACGGCGTCGCCGGCGACAGTTAGTAATCATATAAAAGAAAAGTTCACAAGGAAAAAAAAGAGAAGAGATGTAACAATCGACAAAAAATACGTATAGCAAATTTTCTGGCCGCAGACCGGTATTTTCTTTACTTCATGTCTTTCCATTGACCGCATCCGTATTACGTATGTGTAGGCGTATCACATATCATTAGACTATCTATCTCTGAGTAGTAAATGGTCCAAGTTTAAGTAGAGCAGTTCTCTAGTTCTAATGTCAACATGCAAATATCAGCTATCTGATCGTTGGCAGACCGGCGGGTTAAGTTGCTCCTGTCGTGTTTACAGCGATGACTGGAATTGATTCGTCCCACGGCCGCGCGTGCCGGCCTAGACGCGCCTGTATAAAGGTATACACACACTAGAGTAATAAACTATCAAGAATTAATAATGTAGTGCCTGAAATAGAATTACAAGAACTAATTAGGTTCAGAAACCCATGGTAAATGATGACAACATATTGTTATATCGGTTTTATCAAAGATAATATACAAAGATATGTTTTAATTTCTATCAAGTAGCTAACGCTGTGACTCTGTCCTCGTAAAGTTAAATTATTAATTAGTAGCCTACGCACTATTCCAAGTTTTAACCTATCTCTGTTCCAAAA